AGAGAAAAGGAGACAAGGGACAAGGGAGCGGTGTTCATCCTCCTCTGCGGAAGAGAGAATTCCTTTTGCCTTAGAGCTGGGACACTGCCTATTTTCCTGCCTTCAGATTCTAATGGAAACGGGCTCTTCCTGGGTCTTGAGTCTGTCGGTCTAAAGACTGGAATTCCGTCATCAGCTGACCTGGGTCTGCAGCTTCCCCACTCACCCTGCTGATCTTGAGACTGACCAGCCTTTATAATCACCCGAATCAGTTCCTTAAAGTAACTCTGTATTAATCAACCAATCTATACCCTATTGGTTCTGTTTCTCTGGAGAACCCTATTATGGCTCCCCACCCTGCCCTGATTACTCATTTGGAATTTGCTTCTCTCAGCTGCTCTCAGCCTCCACTGGTTTTGCTGCTGGTCACTACCCCGAACTCCTGAATACAAACCCACTCACACTGGGGCCTCTTCTTTATTTACAGATATGGAGGGGGAACACACATAGGCCTCACACCAAAGGTTTCCCTAAGCTTTCTTTCTATCTCCTCACCTCCCCTAAAAGCTATGTTGCATAACAAAGAGATTTTTGGTGGGGAAGGGGACATTTATGTACCCTGAAAGGATCTCTTCACCAATCTAGGATACAAGCCCTCAGGAAAATAAATCTACCACAGGACCTTCAGGACTGCATCCCTCTCTGGCTTTTTCTTCCTCACCTCAGCATATTTCCCTTCCTGTGGGCTTTTATAGGACGAAAATGTATTTTTTAAAAGGAATTATTACAAACGCAAATGTGAAGAAGAAAATTTTTGAGGCTTATGCTTGGAACATTTTGTGTTTGGAAATCACGTTTGCTCAGAATCTTAAGTAGGCACGGCATTGAGCAATAACTCTAATCAAAATAGGAACAGCAAGGATGGAAGAAAATGGAAGGAAAACTGATTAAGTTGGAGAATTTTTTTAAAAAGAAAGGTTCATGGGGTGTGTGGTGGGGACTCAGTAATGGGGGGAATCTAGTAACCACAATGTTGCTCATGTAATTGTGTATTAATGATACCAAAAAACAAATAAGAAAGGTTCAGTCTGTCTTCTCTTTTTAGGACAATGGCTTCCTGATTTTTATTAGAGCAATGCAGTGCACGAAATAGATGGAAAGAAAGGAAGAAGGAAGGAGGATCCTACTGCACATCATATTTTTAATTTAAAAGGTATTTGTCTTAGTCACTTTGGGCTGAAAACTCAAGCTGAAGGCTGGACCAGAGGATACTGCTGTGGACAGTTGGGGATAACAGGGCCAAGGGGCTGAGAGAAGAGAAGGTAGAAGGTGCCCCATGAGGAATGTTTGCTGCTGATTGCAGGGCATGCTTGCGATAAACTTTGAGAAAATGGAACTAGGAGCCTGTGCTCATGGGTGGAGTTTGGAAAGAGGTTGAATACAAAGAAAAAAAAAGAAGTCGTTCTAAAATCTCTGTGTGGATTAGAATCTATCACATATAATTAACCTATCTCTGAGATTAGGAGCATGTGTTTGGCTGGCTAACAGGAAGGCTGCTTGTGTGGCTGTGCCCTGCCCGACGATGTTTGAATGCTGTCAGGTCATAGAACTAAGCCAAGGGCATTGCTTAACCATGGGGGCTAAAATGTTAGAAAACCAGTTTCAAGGAACCAAGCTAGACCCTGAGAAAGTGGTAATGATCACTTAAAATGTGCTTGCAAGGAGAAAGAAAATGCTGTAATCTCCATTCTAAAGATCAAATCTGTAATTTAATAGCTTCAATCACAGAGTCAGGATTATTCTGTATTATGAAAGTGACAGGGAATGGTAGTTCATAGAAGGGTGGGGAATGTGTTTTGGTGAGACCCATTCCATATCAATTAACATGTTTACGGGGATAGAAAGTAGATTATTTTTGGAGGAAGAAGTTAGATTGATAGGTGAGATGATTGTGCTAGCTGAGAAACCCTAACAGAATGGGATTCGCTGGTTTCCTTTCAGAATCCTGGGCTTTTGGATTCTGATGGGGAACAGGGCAAGCACTCACATCCATGTGGTGTGCTACCAAGGCCAGAAAGTCAAGGGTGCAGAAAAGACAGTGCAGAAGAAGGGAGAAGTTTAAACTATGGATTGAATACATTAAGAGTTTGAGAGACAAAGGACTATTATGTCAGCAGAATCTAAAGGTGGTCCTGAGTTGAAAGCTGTGAAGCCAATAGCTCAGTGCATTTTTGGGTACTGGTCTTCGAGTCCTTGGAAGGGTAGAGAGGAAATACATGCCAGATTTCTGATTATCAGGGAATGGGGGAAAAATTCTGTCTATGTAATGAGATTACAAAAGTTTTCTGTAAGGCAATAATATAGGACCTGAAAATATGGCCAGTTCAGCCAGGCACAGGTAAGAGTCAGAGTCAAGAACGACGGACTGACTGATTGTATGACCAACCTGAAGGCTGCCTGGGGTTCTCTCTGATAATGGACAGCTGAGGTGGAAGGGGATGGAGGTCAAACACAAATTGGAGACTGAGGATAGAACAGCTGAGATTGCATCGTGGACCCAAGCTCAGGTCTCAGAGGATGAGGCATAAGCTGACAGGTTGAATTGATGGTGGCTCTTGTCTTCTACAGGCAGCGAACACGGAGAGGCAGCAAACCTCATTTTGGCCAAGGGAAGATGCAGGTGGAAAGGACACCTCAATTTTTGTTGCTCATGAAGACTAGACGGGCATGAGATCACAAACTTTATTCTCCTCTGGGGATTTCACTTTAATGTTGAAGTTAAACAAAATGTCTTAATGGTCAATTGGATGATTTTGATGGATAGATGTTAAACACTTAAATCAGAGTCCTGCCCTTTTCATTATTGATCACACAACCACCCTGACCTTTGGAGATGCCATTATCTCCTCTGAAGGATCGGGCAGTGTCTACTCTTTTAAATGGAATTATTGGAATGTGTGACTGGTAATACTTTTGCATGCATTTTGATGACAAAATGAAATGTATCTTTATCTGCAAATCTACTTCTAATTCATCCTGTAAGCACTTGGAGTTTCTTTACAAGAAAATATGGAAGTTTGTGAATTTTTCTTCTTATAAACACTTGCTTCATTTATAATCAATTTATACTCCACAGTCTAGTTAAATATTATTCTATGTAGATGACACTTCATTTCAGTTCATATTTTTACTAAAAATTGAATTTCAGAGCAATGTATCTGAAGGAATGTTAGCTACAATTAGGCTTCCAAATTGACTTGCCCATGTTACTATGTGAAAAACTCGACTAAGATGCAAGCCACCTTCCTGCATGATTAAATTGCCCAGGTAACCCTAACTCCAGCAGTTTGCTTCCCTGCCTAGAAGACAGCAGGTGCTTTTGCTGTTGAGTACCTCAAAATGTGGAGAAAACCAACTACCATTTTATTAGAAATGCAGAGGACAAAAGAACATGTAAAGTGGCACCAGAGGGATGCAATCAACCAATCCAAATTGTGGAAAACTATAGAAGAGCTTAAAATGCACAGAAAAAAATTTTTTTTCCCTGAACCACTTGAGAGCAAGTTGCTAATGTAATGCTCCAGTCACCCCTGAGTATTAAGGAGACTTTTTTGTATAAGCACCATACAACCATCACAATCAGAAAAATTAACACTGATGCATCACATCAGACCTCATTTAAATTTTGTTATTTCCCAGGAATGGTGTTTACAGCTATAGAATCAGGTCTAAGGGCACATGCGTTGATTTAATTGTTGTCTCTAATCCACAGTCAGGAACAGTTCACCAGTTTTTCCCTCACTTCATGAGCTTGACACTTTTGAAGACTACAGCCAGTTATGCTATATACCATCAGTTTGAATTTCTCTGATGTTTTCTCATGATTGGTTTTAGGTTATACATTTTGGCATAGAAGCGATGCTGAGTTCTTCATTCTATCCAATGTCACATGATTTTAATTTATCCTCTTACTAGTCATGTTCATGCTTATTACTTGATTAAGGTGGTATCTGCAAGCAGTTGAGAAGTTGTTTATTTAGCAAAGTCCCCCATTTAGCTCCCTTATAATACGGTCCTCTAGTGCTATTTAAATTTAACTAACCCCAATTTATAATCCCATAAAGTCACTTTTTCCAAATGTGGTATAATCAAGGCCACTGAGCTAGCTTTTTTTTTTTTTTGGTGTCTGCACAATTTTTGTGTCATATAAGCCCTCTTTATGTAATTATTTAGATATTTCTTTTACCTCTTGTCTTGGTTTGCAGTAACACGTACCCCTAATTTACATGCAAGAACACTGTTTCCCAGCATCTCACTTTGAACATACACATCAATATGCAGAAAGTATATTTCTTTAGCCTTATACAACCTTTTACATAGAAGACTAATCAGAGAAATCCTTTTATTCTGTATAAAAACAAAATAAATGATAAACACTAGAATTATATGTCCAAGTATTAGGTTGTTGGGAAATTAAATATAAAATGCAATTTTGATTTTCAAAAGAGAAGAAGGAGTTGATAGAAGGGTGAGGAGAAGGTGGGATGGCAAAAGTATGCAAGACAGCAAGAGCTGTGTCCCTATTTGCCACCAGGAGTCACACCTGCACCCAGGCCTAGGTGCCAAGCGTATGTGTGCTCAGTGGTGGATGGCCACCTTCTGTCCCCCCAACGTGGGTAACCAGTGGGTGGTGCACTCAGCTCCAGGGGCTGTGTGGCAGAAAGAACAGATGGACGGTAGAGATCTGGGGAGTTTTCCCCTTGCTCTGTCCTCAGTTTCTTGTGTGATGCTGAGCAATACTTTCTCTCTTTTGGACCTTTCAGTTTTCATATGTAGAAATGAGGAGAGAGAAAGCCCTTTCAACACAGTCACGGAGAAAGGGGGTAAGTCAGGACTGTGAAGTTCTGGGAGGAGAAATAAGCATGGGGTGATCCAAGTGGGTTAAAACAGAAACAATCCTGCAGAAAACTTCTGCCCCCTTTGGGCTCACACAGAGTCTTTAACTTGCAGACGCTCAAGTTATGTCTCACGCATTGACCAGTTCTGCCCTTCCTACCACCTACCCCCCTTATGACTGCTTCCATCCCTGCCCCCGGCCCAGGGAACTGCCCATCTGCCTTCTCATCCTGTTGGTGATACCTGTTAAGCTAGACTCGCCTTATTCCGGAAACATTTAGAGGTAAAAACTCCTCTCTTTGTGCTATTGTTTCAGTTCAGAAAGTGCCAGAAGGAGAGTCCTCTTCAAAGTGGTGAGGAGACAGATCAATAGCCTGGAGGTTAAAAAAAGTAGGAAAAGGGAATGAAAAAGAGAATTATTTTCCACAGAAATCTCCTTCCTTCCTTCTGGCTTCACTGGAGGCCCGGGGGACTTTGCTGTGGAGGTGTTCCTGATTCAGTAAGATTTATAGATGAGGCTCATTTGAGAAGTATGAGCAGGAAATTCATAGAGCTGGGTGAAAAGAAATTTCAAAATCATTTAACAATGTTTTAGTCTTGTTAAAATGTGCTTTTTTCTTCTTTTGAAGGGTCACATTCTTCAGCCTTAGTTCTGCCAGCTTTCTCCCCTGAAGTGCTGCATGGCCCTGTGCAGCTGGAGGCTGCTAGTTCCAACAAGCTTTTGAACATTACGACCGAGGGACTCTCAGGTAAAGAAGCTGGAAGAGAAGGAAGGAGCTTGTTTGCATTAAAGTAAGTAAGTACCATTTAAAAATCTGAGGTCCCTTCTAGGCATGGAAAGAAGTTCCCACGGGCATGGGCTTACCCAAGATGGAGCACCTCACCATTACATACCACACAGCCTCTCCCATAGAAGAACTACTGTGAAGAATTTGCGGAAGTCATTGGTTACTAATTGTAAAGGTTTTTGAGAAGTATTTTTAAATATCAATGAACATTAAACAAGCAGTAGTAGAAAAACTCAAATGGCAAATGGGAGTTGCATCTCATTTCTTTAAAAATAAAATAGAAAACCCAAGGGCCTTCAGGACTGGAAAGAACGAGGCATGGGTGTGTGCGTGATTTTAGGAACGGCACGCCTGCACACATCCAAGGAGCTTCCCTCTGGGGTTCAGGTGGGTGGGTCAGAAAGATTGAGAGGATTGAGAGAGAGGGACCTACTAAAGATTTTCCCAGAAAATAAAGGTAGCTAGGAAAGCAACCCAGTCTATTTTTTCAATTATCGCTAAATGCTTAAGCTAGGAAAATTGACCCTGGTGAGGACAGAAGACTGGCTTTGAAAACTGTCCAGAGAGGCAATTGCTGACAGACAAGTTGAAGTGCTTTTCTTGATTATCTGTGGTGAGTCATCCTTTCACAGGGCAGAGCCCTCATCTTGGTACAAATCAAGTCAGGGCAGGAGAGTGAACTAAGTTGTACTTTTTAAGAGTTAATCTTTGTGACCATACTTCTAGTGTGGGCTCCCTGCGGTTATAGCCTGGGGCAAGTTTTAAAAGCAAAATCAGATGAGTAAGCAAAAAAGGAAACTCATTTTTTTCCTTTTTCTGTCACGATAGTTAAACAGAAAAATAGAAAGAAGAAAAAAAGCATACATCACACCACATCTATTATTTACCAAGTTTCCATATATCACCATTAAGGGGTCATAGCTGCAAGCAAGAGATGCGAACTTTGGCTAATTTAGGCAGAAAACGCAGTTATTAAAGGCTACTGAGCAGCTCACAAAATCTCTGAGAATCCAGGTTGGAGCTGACCAGTGTCATGAAAAACAGTCGAAAATTGTGCAGACCTGGTTCAATGAGGACCTCATTGCCCTTTCCCCTGGACCTGGACCATGTAACACGTGCTGCAGATTTCCCAGTGCAGTTACCACTACCGCTTCCAGCAACTGGAATCACCACTGCCTCTACTCAGCCTCACGTTTAATTCTGGGCACTTCCTCCCCCTTTGCCTCACGAGTCCTTGTACCAAATCCTGGCTCAAAAGTACCTGAGTGATAGCCGAGGTCACAAGCTTGTGCCCCTGCTACAGGGGATGCTGAGAACATTTCAGCCTCTCCTGAGAGAGGGTACTCCAGACCTAAAAGAGAGATTCAGTCGATGGGTGAAAGAAGTTATGACAGATACATTTCACACCTTAGCTACCTCAAACCAACATATTTCCTTCTTCCTTCTGTCCTTTGAGGAGCTCTCATCTAATACAATGTGCTGCCAGAGCCCACCAACTGACTTCTGAGATGGTGTCAAGGACTCATCCATCTTGAAGACCAGAGTTCCCAGATGGACTTTATTCTTCCTGTATGAAGTCAAAATCCTGTACGAATATTCTGTAACCCGCATCTCTTTTTCTCCGGCTACCTCCAGGATTTTCACATTTTTTAAAAGCAGTTGAAATATGATCTCTATACTCATTTTTCTTTGCTCGCTTCTTTTCTTACTTATCCTGCTTGGTATCCTCTGAACTTCTTATATTTATGGCTTGATGTATTTCATTATTTATGGAAAGCCTCCTGTCACTCTGTTTAGATATTTCTTCTTTCCTATCTTATTTCTATTCTCCTTTTGGGATTCCATTTGCATATATATTAGTTTGATATTGTTCCTTTGCTCTTTCATGTTCTCTTCTTGTCTTTGTTTCCCTTTACTCTTTTTAGTCTTTGTTTTTTAGTCAGGGTGAATTTTGCTTACCTCTGTCTTCATGTTTAGTTTGGTTGTGCTGAGTCTAAGCCCGTTGAAAATATTCATCATCTATGCCATTGTGTTTTCCACTCCTAGAATCCCACTTGCTTCTTTTTGAATTAAATTTCCATCTCTGTGCTGAATTTCCCCATGTGCTTACGCACATCGTTCAGTCTTTCTACTAGAATCCTTAGCATATTTATCATGGTTATACTAAATTCCACATCTATAGTTCAAACATCTGTATCTGATTCTGGTTTTATAAATCACTTTGTCTCTTGAGAGTAATTGTATTTTCGTGCTTTTTCTGTGATGTATAATTTTTTGGTAAAATATGCACATTATGTGTAGGATAGTAGAGACTAAGATTATTTGCTTTTTTCCTTGAAATGAGCAAATACCTCCTCTGCTAGGCCTGCAGTATGTATATATGTTGGGAGTGAATCAGTGCTGTCAGGAGTTGAACTGAGTGTGGGTTTTGTTGTTTCTGTGAGCAGTCTTAGTGTGCAACCACCTTCAAATTCTAAAGTCAACTTGTACTGAAGATGGGGGTGTGGGTTATCAGACTATTTTTCCTTCATGTTGCTGTTCTACCTTAAGCTTTATGAATTTTAAGACTGCACCTCAGAGAGGATGTTTTTCTGCACACTTGTCCTCTGCCATGACATATTGCTTTTCCTTATTCAGATCTTGCTAGGTGGGTAGAGGTTTCTTCTCTGTTGTCCTGGGGCTAAGTTCTAGGCTCATCATTAGTTCTTGGGTCTCAGGGGAGGGGCTTCCTCAGTGAACCCTAGAGCCCCCTGCCAGGGTAGTGTATGGTGACTAAGCAGGGTGCCGTGGATTTCATGCTAACCAATGACAAGCCCCCTCCTGACCTCAGTGTCAGTGGAAACTATGCGGAGAGCCTACACTTGCACTCCCACCTCTTTGTAATGAAGTATCCTCCCCCTTTCAATTAGGAAAATTGAATTTATAATTTAAAACTCTCCAAAAAGAACTTTCCAGGCCCATATGGTTTCACTGGAAAATTCTACCAAATAATTAAGGAAATATTAGCACCAATTCTGCCCAATATTTTTCAGAAATAGAAGAGGAAGGAACATTTCCAAATTCATTTTATGAAGACAGTATTATCCTGATACCAAAATAAGAGAGATGGTAAACAAAAAAGAAAACCACAAACCAATATACCTTTTGCAAATGGATATAAAATTCTTAACAAAGTATTAGCAAATAGCACTCATAAATATATAAAAAGAAATATACAGCAAGATCAAAGTTGAATTTATTTCAGGAATGCCAGGCTGGTTCAATATCCGGAAATAAATCAAGGTTGCTTAGACCATATTTACAGACTAAGAAAGAAAGATTACATTATTATGTAAGCTGATTCAAAAAAAACATTTGATGAAACTCAACACATATTCATGATAAAACATCCTCAAAAAAATAGGAATAGAGGGGAACTTCCTCAACTTGACAAGAAGGATTTATACTTCTCTGCCCCCATTAGCTAACACTATACTAATGGCAAATGTTTCCCCCCTAAGACCAAGAATAGGGTGATGATACATGCTCTCAATATTTTTCCTCAACATAGTGCCTCACATTCTAGCCATGCAATAAAGGGAGGAAATAAAGGCATATGCATTAGAAAAGGTGAAATAAAGAGATCCCTGTCTGCAGATAACATGATCATCTACATAGAAAGCTCCATGAAACCCAGGAAAATCTCCTATAATTAGTGAAGCAAGACTATAGGACTCAAAATAAACATACAAAACTCCATTTTACTTCTCTATATTAGCAATGAGTGTGTGGATGCTGAAATTAAAGACATAGTACCAGTTACAAGAGGTCAAAAATGAAATAATTAGTGTAAATCTGACAAAACATACAGAATTTATATGCTTAAAATGACAAATTGCTAATGAAAAAAATAAAAATAGATTTAAATAAATGAAGAGCTATACCATGTTCATAGATTGGAAGACTATATAGTAAGATTTCAGTTTCCCACAAATTTACATACAGGTTTACCATGATTTTTATCAGAAGTCCAGCAGGCTTTTTCTGTACATATAGGCAAGATTATTTTAAAATTTATATGGAAGGACAAAGGAAGTAGAATAGCTATAAAACAATTTTCAAAAAGGACTATGAAGTGGAGGGAAATCTATCCAATTTTAAGATTTAAAATTTGTATCTACAATAATAAAGATTATATGGTAGTGACAAAGGGACAGATGCATAGATCGGCAGAACACAGTAGAGAACCCAGAAATAAACACACATATATATCCTACAAATTTTTGACAAAGGTCCAAAAACAATTCAATGGAGGACATAGACTTTTCAACAAATGGTGCTAGAGCAATTGGCCATACATAGGCGGGGGGAAAAAAGCAACTCCATTGATTTACAGATTATTAAATCATTAAACCTAAAGTGGGTTGTGAGCTTAAATATAAAATGTAAAACTATACATTTTTAGAAGAGACATAAGGAAAATACCTTGGGATCCAGGGTAGGCACAAAAATGCATGGCCCATAAAATGAAAAATAATAGGACTTCACCAATATTAAAATATTCTCTGAGAAAGACTCTTTTAAGAAGATGAGAAATCAAGCCACAGACTGGGAACATGTATTTGCAAACCATATATTCAAAGAGGGACTAATATCTAGAATACATAAAGAATTCTCAAATTTCAACAGTAGAAAGCAAAAGATCCAATTAAATGTGGGCTAGAGACCTTTTATAGGGCAAGATAGACGGATGGAAAATAAGCACATGGAAAGATTTTCACCATCATTAGCCTTTAAGAAATGCAAATAAAAACCATCAGAATGGCTAAAGTTAATATAGTGAAAATACTGATGAGGATGAAGAGAAACTGGACCGTGTATATTTTGCTGTCTGTAATGGATAATCCTGTAGCTGCTTTGGAAGGTGGCTTAGTGATTTCTTAAAAAAAAAACAAAACCACAATCATAAGCCATTGCACTGTTGGGCATTTTCCTAATGAAATTAATGCTTATGCTCACACAAAAACCTATGCATGAATGTTTATAGAAGCTTTATTTTTAATAACACCATCTAGATGGAATCCAGGTTGTTCTTCAAAATTTGAATGGCTAAACAAAAGGTGATACCAACACACCATAGAATACTCATCAACAATAAAAAGAATAAACTATTAATATGTACAACCTGGATGAATCACCAGATAATTATGCTGAATGAAAAAGTCAAACCTGGAGAGGATACACTATAGGATTCCATTTATACATAATTCTTGAAATGCCAGAACTATGGATAAGGAGAACAGGCAATGATTATCAGAGGTTAAGGAGAGGGTAGAGGCTGGATGGAAATGGGTGTGCCTATGGAAGGAAAACAGGAGGTGTTGTGGTGAATGGATGTTTTCGGTATTTTGACTATATCAATGCCAATATCTTGTGATATTACATTATCACATATTAAATAATATGATTGTAATTTGTTTATACAATTACATTTGATTGTATATCATACTACCGTATGATATTGTAGAGTAGCTTTGCAAGTTGCTACCATTGAGGGAAACTGGGCAAAGGATACAAAGAGTTACTTCCATATTATTTCATCAAAAATGTGTAAATCCACAATTTCCATAAGCTTAAGTACAAAGTTTAATAAAAGTTTGAAGAGGTGTAGAAGTTTCACCCTTCTGTGTGAAGGATTTTGAATGATTTTATTTTCCATTGTTCTTTTATAGTAGCTGCTAATATTCCCTTTTATCAACTTCTTCTAGATTTGGATTTTTAAGTCTCTCTATATGATGCTGTTATTTTTGGAGCTGAAACAGTAGCGTGAGAAATGTACCAGCATGTCCATCATACTTGCAGTACTCACAGAAGTCCGTTAGACTCTGCACATACATCAAGGGAGCAAAGCCCATCTCTCCTGTCTCTACAAAGAGAAGTAAGGGCACCTGGAGCCTAAAGGGGAGAAATGCTCTTCACCCCAGATGTAGATGCAGCCCCAGTCATGTTCCCCAGACTGGGGCACTGAAGGGTGAGGTTGGTTTGGGCTGAGGAGAACATGGTAAGCTTCAGGAACCTGGCTCCTCTGAGGTTTTAGAAACCTAAGGCTCTAATGAAGATGTCAGAGGCAGAGGGAGGCAGGGGAGCAGCCTTCCACAGGGAGGAGGAGGGCAGCCCGGAGGTCCTGCGCATGTGCATTGGGAGTGGGGTCAGTGATGAACATTCTAACGCCTGAGGCTCCTGAAGGGGCTCGTCAGCCCACGTTGCCAAAGGCAGCTGCTGCCAAAGCCCACAAGGGCTGTGCTTGGGCTGCCTTGGAGCTCTTGTCGCGTCCTCCCAGTAGTGTCCCTAACAATTGCAGTTAGTCCCAGGGGATATGGGTCCTGGAGCCCAAGAGATCTGGGGCATCTGTTCCGTGTGGCCCGTCACTGTGTTGGAGGGGAGAACTCTTCGGACCAACTGAAACCCAGCCCGCAGCAGGCACTGGTTAATATTTGAGAGGCATCAATAGCGTGTGTGAGTGTGTCTTTAGAAGGGACAGAAACAGACAGGATGTGACTAGTTAGGGGCTTTGGATTGGGATATGAAATGTGACTGCTGAAAGCTTCTCATCCTTTGCATTGTCGCAAGTGTAGTAAAATAACTGCTTTGCAGAAGTGCGAGGCTTGGGTGCACTTCTTCCAACAGGCTTCTCAAATCCAAGGCTTGGTCCTGATGTAGAGAGGTGAAGACATAGAGGGAAGAAGCCCAGGAGCAGAGAATTGTTAGTTCGGTATTGATAATGATGAGCAGGTTGTGGGAATATTAGTATATTACATTTCCAGACTAGATAAACTGTCAATCGCTCCAGGCCTCCGATTTCAGTTATTTTTGAAGGGTTTGGTACATAGGACATTGTGGTTTTTAAAAAAATAGCACATATGTCAAGATATAGGGCAATTAATGTCTTATTCAAAGAGCTTCAACATTGAGAGTGAACTGGAGCCAAGATTTAAGTCTTCTAAGTGATCCCGGGTGGGTTCCCCTAGAATTGGCTGTGGGGATTGCCCTCTGGAGATTTGCCAGGCCAAAGGAATTTTACTGTAAAGAAAACCCTAGTCTTAGCGACCAGGGAGAAGAACTGTAAAGGTCTCACACAATGAGGCCATAATGAAATATGTCACCATAGTGAATGTCCAGTTGCACTTGCTTGAGAAACCGTGTTTCTAAAAATTGGGCTCAGATTAAGTGAATATTGTGGTGACCAAATCAGAGTACAAGAACTTAACTAGACCACTAAGAAAAAATGACTTGTTCTTCCAGGATGTCCAGGCCCTGGGTTGTGTGCCCACGCGCTGGGATGACGCCAGTATTCCTGCTCAGGACGGATGCACTAGGTGTGCACATCCACCAACTCCACAGTCACGAGTCAAAGAAATCTTTCTCTGAATGAAAGCGCACTTCCTTGGACGGTTCAAGTTCATGAAGGTATGGCTGTGAGTCACACTGAGCAGCACGAGAGAAACATATCTGCAGGTGAGGGACCTCCCTTTCTGTGTTCTGCTTCGGCAGAACTTTCACTTGTCCCAGTGAAGATTGTTCAGAACCCCAAATACAGAAGGTCAAATAGGTTAAGGCATAAAGGGGCAGATTTTCTTTATTTAAATGGGAAAATTATAACTGCCTTAAGCTGAACTTCCCAATTAGTTGTGTTACGTGAAATAAAACATGTTGTGTTAGGAATCTGAAGTCTTATTTTTGATTCCTTATCTCTGTCATAGAGAAAAGGCATTTATTTCCACTTGCTGGAAGTATCAGTACCTGGATAATGGGAGAGGGCACTGGGGGCCGCTTTTAACTGGGGTCAGCATCAGCCGGAATGAGCAGCGAAGAGTTGGACTTTGCTGTCTGTACGTCATACCTGATTTTTCCTATAATTTCAATGGATTCCTCATCCTTCCCCCATTTGTAAGGGACTCAGTTTTCTTCTGTCATGCGACCTATTTTAAATGGCTACAATAAGGACAGGTAATTAATATTTTAAAATCACGTTTAGAACAATCACATTTAAAAAATTCACAAGGAGCACAATCTCAACATAAGGGCATTAATACAGACGCTCTTTATATTTTCTTAACCCACCAGGATTCCAAGAATGGAATCTGTTGAAAACACAATTATTTGGGTACTAATTAATCAAAATTTAAATGATTTTAAAATGAAAGCAAATACTTTATAAATGAAAACACTCTTTGATGGATTAAAAGTAATTAGCTGATAAATCCATGAAAGATATTTAAGTATTAGCAGGATATTATAATAGAATACTTTGCTCTAAGTCACACACATGATAGATAACAACTATACTGTTAATATAATAAAAGGGCAGTGTCTAATGTATAAGTATTAATCTCCTGTCCAGGGTGTACTTATTCTGGAAGCAATTAAAAATCATCTGTATATATATATATAAATGCTAGGATGAAGTTTTGAATATTAGAATATTCTGTCTGATGGGGAGTATTGGCTTGGATATGGGTTTGCAAGGGTATAGGTTTAGAGTGGGCATAGGCTGAATCATGAGATTCTAAAGGAAGTTGCACTTTGTCAGATGGAAGTTGGTAAGGTATGTATTAGGATATTAGCAAGTTGAAGGAAGTCTGAGGGAGAGGTTGGAGATATGTAATAAAACAATGAAAGAAGATGACTTATCCTATGGAGTGTTGAGGAACAGGGAAAAATTAAACATGATATTTTGGGATAGTAGGATAACTTTAATCTATTGATAGCAATAAAGGAATCATGAGGGAATACAGTGTGTAGAGAGATGAGTTGATGGTGAGATATTTAGGAATCATTCGTTAAGCTGTTGCAGGCAGCATCTGGACATTCGGAGAGAAATTTAGGAGGTAATTACAGAGTTGAGAGTGAACCATATAGAGTTGATTACAATTATTGCAGTGAAGAGATAAGTCGTCCAAGGAAAAGCTGAAAAAAGAGAAAAAAAGAGTGCAAGGTCCGAGCCCAGAATCTTAGAAAATCTTTACAGTAACCAAGCAGAAGAATCAAAAATAATTATCAAAGAATACAATAGACAAAGAAAATCAGTTTGTAAGAAAATCAAGAGTTGAGAATTTGAAGGAGCAAATAGTCAAAATGTTTAAATGATAAAGAAAGAAATGACGTAGAATACAAGTCTCTGCATCTGATGGCTGGAAAGCCAGGGATGACCTTCCGGAGTGCTGCTTCCGTGGATCGGAGAAAGTGGGAACCACATTTCATGACAGTGTGGATGGGGTGAGGACACAGACCCAGCAAGTGGGCCCCGATCACCTGAGAACTCCGGGTGTGAAAGGAGGGGCAATTAGAATGGTGACTATGTGACAAAGATCTCTCTCCCCAGATTGGGTCTGTATATTGTTACAATGAGGGGAGAAGGAATCATTCAGGAGGGAGAGAAGCCCAGAACGGTAGAGAGAGGGAATAAGTGCAGGAATAAGGTCCCGAATGTGATAAAGAGCTTGTCTTTATGAAAGGTCAATCAGTTGTCATCACGACCTGATGGACACCTGCCCTAATTCCGTCACTAAGGTAGGAGATTTTGGCCTTCAACATATTTGAGTTCACCAGCGACCCTCTCAGTTGGCCAGTATTGCCCACATTTTACAAATTACTACATGTGACACGGAGAGAGGCTAAATATCTTGCTGTAGGCCTCCGGGAGCAGAAGAGAATAGATTCAAAGCAGGAACTGTTAGGCTGTAAAGGCCACACGTTCTCTAGGATGTGACACTGCCACCAATTGGTAATAAGACGTGGGCCGTTGTAGAGACATGCAGGGTGGGCAGGAGGAGCACAGTGGGTCCCCACAGGCACGGTCTCCGGGCAGCTTGCACAGCGCAGCAGAGGAACTGGTGATGCGACGGCCATCTGTTCTGTGTCTTTTTCTTCTGCGTGCATGTTACGAGCACAGGGAAGTATAATATTCACCCTTGAAACCCCAGCATCTAGTACGTTTGCCAAATTAATCAGAAATGAAAGGTCTACTTCTTACGCAGATCTGCTACCTAGTCAACAAACGTGAACAGATTTGTTTTCTCTTCCTCCTTTCAGACCGCAAAGCCTACGCAGCCATTTTCATACTGTTGACACCATACCCAAGGACTAGAGTTGTAGAAAAATAAAAAGAGCAAGTTAGAATGAGTAAAAAAAAAAAAGATTAAAAAAATAAAAAGAGCAAGATAAAATGACCACTCTTCTCTCTCTCTTTCCAAAGACTCAAAGTAACCAAATTCTCAAAAAGACCCATCTTTCCCTGGAGTTTCAAAGCATCCAAACCAGCTTTCAGACTTTAAATCTGTTAAAGGATTTGCTTCCTTTTTTATTTAAATGTCTGAAGAAATTGTGGTAGGGGTATGAGAGGAAAGCCCAGAATTTGTTACTGTATCTCTGCCTGGGCTGGACTCATGCTGCCGCGATACCCATCCCACTGAAGGACTGCTACCACAGAGAGTTTATGAAGCACTTTCCCGTAGTTATCTCGGTTTGGGATTAAATTATTGCAATTACATAATCTGTAAATTATGCAACACTACCCCATTTTGTATGTAAAAGTTTAAGTCTCTAACCCAATCACACATCTGGTAAGTCATACAAACAGGATTTCTCATCATGTTCTGGAAATTCCAGATTTCCATGAGATGCTAGCCTTACTTGCAGCATGTATCTGCCTCTTCCAAATCTCTTTTGTTTTTATAATGTGTTTATACATTTAATCATGTTTTGTGTGGTAGATACGTATAGGCTTGTCCTTGAACTTTGAACCATGTTCATTCTCATTGCTTATCATTTTGCCTCCCATTGTCATCTGCAATTTTCTCCTGCCCTGGAAATGGAGATAAGTTGGAAAGATACAGAGCTCCAAAAATTGCTCTGCATTATCTCCAGTTTCTGACTCTCTCAGACCACATATTGTCCTTATGAAGGTGCTATCCTGTCTTGCTTTCTGTAGACTAGATATAAGGCATACTAGCCTCATGATCAAGCCTGTCATCTTGGCCCATAAATGATCTGAAAAATCTAGCTAAGGCTGGCAGGATATGCATTCTTACAAGAAGTTATTCTAATGGCTCTTTAATTCAGCAGCTTCTATTATTTCTGTCTCTCTGCAGATTAATAATCTGTTCTTTAATGGACACAGATAACCAGACATGGGTGAGAGAGTTTATTCTGCTCGGCCTGTCCAGTGACTGGGACACTCAGGTCTGTCTTTTTGTCCTGTTCTTGATCACATACATGGCGACAGTGCTGGAGAACTTCCTCATTGTCCTTCTGATCAGACTGGACAGCCGACTCCACACTCCCATGTATTTCTTCCTCAGCAACCTCGCACTTGTTGATGTGTCTTACGCCACAAGCATCGTCCCTCAGATGCTGGTGCATCTTCTTGCAGAACATAAAGCTATCTCCTTTGTGAGCTGTGCAGCCCAGTTATTCTTCTCCCTGGCCTTGGGTGGGATTGAGTTTGTTCTACTGGCAGTGATGGCCTATGACCGCTATGTGGCTGTGTGTGACCCCCTGAGGTACTCAGTCATCATGCATGGAGGGCTCTGTGCCAGGTTGGCCACCACGTCCTGGGTCAGTGGGTCTGTCAACTCTGTCATGCAGACCGCCATCACCTTTCAGCTGCCCATGTGCACAAACAAGTATATTGATCAAGTATCTTGTGAAATCCTAGCTGTGCTCAGGCTGGCCTGTGTGGACACCTCCTCCAATGAGGTTGCAATCATGGTTTCTAGCATCATCCTGCTGATGACACCCTTCTGCCTGGTTCTCTTGTCCTACATCCAGATCATCTCCACCATCCTAAAGATCCAGTCCACAGAGGGGAGGAGGAAAGCCTTCCACACCTGTGCCTCCCACCTCACAGTGGTTGCCCTGTGCTATGGCATGACCATTTTCACTTATATCCAGCCCCGTTCCAGCCCTGCTGTCCTTCAGGAGAAGTTGATCTCTGTCTTCTATGCTATTTTGATGCCTGTGCTGAACCCCATGATTTATACTCTAAGGAACAAAGAGGTGAAGGGGGCCTGGCAGAAACTATTAGGAAAATTATCTGGATTAAAATCTAAACTGTCAACGTGATGAATCATGAGCATCATTTGGAGAAAAGAGCCTTGCTTGTGTGTTCTCCCACTCAGCTCAGATACAACAGGCGTCAGCTGCATTGCCCTGGCAACCAGGAAAGAGATGATGAAACATGTGCTGGTGTCGCTGAGTAGGAGGCTGAGTGGCTGGGTTGGGGGGTGGGATGTGTGGGTATTTTTATGTTACAGGAGCTGTTCTGTGGGGTTGAGCACTGTTGTAATAGAACTTCTCCTCTTTGCTCAGTCTCCATTCATCTGGCTTGAGTGTAATGAGAAAAGGACCATTTATTATTTTGATTCACACACTGTTTGTAATCATGGACCTATTCATGAATCTTACTTTGGATCCCTGGTTTTTATTCATCTAAATTTTGTACAAGGTTATCATGTTTCCATTGGGAACAAAATTATTTTCACATTTTAGACTCACTTAAAACAATGTTTGTTGGATAGTCACATCCAGTAACTGTGTGAGTCACTGTTCTGAGGAAAATGTTGATATTAAGACTGATTAAAATGTTTTTGATGTGGACCTAACATGTGTGGACATAATACGTGTGTCTGAGTGCTAGAGGTAACTCATTGGAGAAGCATCAACTAAAGGTCTAATTTTCTACTGGTAGGAATGTAAAAAAGGGACTTGTACATTATTACTGGGCAAGGAAAAGCTGTTTCAAGTTCTTGATAGTATAAAATATTTTGAGGATTTTTATTGCATACATAAAGATGCCCCATTTAAATGCAAAAATTGTTCAATTTCTAAGAGAACTATTAGCTCTTTTCCTAGACTTTAGATACAAAAGCAGCACATAAATTTAGGATAATGTAGGAAACATCAATAGAAAGAACACATCCTCACTCAGAGCCAACAAAAAATAAGATGATTTTATATGGACTTGATGGATCAGGATCGTTCAGCCAGCTCTGCAGATGTCATTCTCGATTGCCCATAGATTTTTTTTCAAGTCTCTTTCTCCCACTGCTGCTCCTACATACACAGCAGGGCCCTAATTGATCTTTGTAAACCTAGTGAGATGGAGTAGTCTGAGAAAAAGCCTAAAGAAGGAAAAGGAGGGGGGATAAATAATTGCACAAGTGATAAGGATGGGGGAAGAGGAGAAAGAGTGTGACAGCACTGCCTCTTGTCACTCCCTTGAAGAAGTCTCAGAGTCCTTTCTTTCCGTTGTATTAAGTTATTTGAAGTGTAGTCTGCCACTTGTGAATGCATTCCCACAATCCCAGTGCTGAAGCAGAGTGGAAGGCTCATATAATCCAGAGCCCATACACTAGTTTAATTTTGCCTTAAAAAAATCCTTCCTAAAATTCATGATAAAGGCAGGCATCCCAAAAGATGTCAATGCTCGTGGGCTAAATTTTGCTTGACATTAATTCAAGAAATATTAAGAGAGAGTCAGTCCACTCTGTGTGTGATAAGGAATGGTTTTAGAGACACAATAATCAGTAAGACACTGTCCTAAAGATAAGACTGTGGTATATCAGGGATGACAGATGATGAATCAACTAAAATGCAGCATTTTAAGTGTGAGCCTTTGGGGGTGACAGCAGAAGTCTTCTGTGTATGAAAGGACCAAAAAGATCCAGGTGGAGACCAGGAAGGTGAGAACAAGTGATCCAGGTGACAGCAACCCAAAGAAAGGAACAGCTTGTGAAAGGTGCAGAGCTGGAAGGGAAGAGGCGAGTTCCAAAGTGTCCTACAGCTGCACTTGCAGGGCAGAGATGACTAGGGAAGTGGTGAGGATGAGTCAGGCGGGTAAAGAAGGGTGTGGTCTCACAGGGCACTGAATGCCGCATTGTCATTTAACTTTATCTGATTGCAATGAGGAGATTTTTAAGTAGGAGTATAATTTGATAACATTCACATTTTTGAATTATTTCTTTGGCAAGTAAGCCACAGGAAAAAGAGGTTAGAGGCAAGGAGACCAGCTAGGGGGCTGCTCCAGTGATACCACTGAGACATTAGAGGATTCTGATCTAAAGTGGTAGCTATAGGGCAACAGGAAAGTCAAGTGAAGTCCCATGATTGAAAGAGATTTCAGAGGAATGTTTCATGTTCTTCCAGACTGCACTTCCTATGTTTACCCCATACCTCTTCTAAGATAATATTACAATGTTATGTGAATTGTGGAGTAAATGGCAAAATTTACCTCTATGAATACTTTCTATATAAAATGGTAGGGGAAAGAAATGAAAGAAACAGAAAATTAGCCAAAACCCCAAATATACCCAAGACACTTGAGAAAGGGAAGAGTGTGAAGATGCTGTGTCCTCCTCCACCTGGTTACAGTGTCTGTCACTCTTGTCCACCATGCAGGGCTCGGTCCCTTAGCCTCTCCTGGCCTCACTCCCCTGCTCATTGCCCTTCTCCCATCTTCAAGGCCAGCAGCCTCTCTCTGCATCTTTTCCTTGACCCCCATTTTCACATCTTCTAGCTCGTTTCTGAGGCTGAATAGATGTAATTCATATTGGGTCCAAGCTTGGTCACTTTGTACAATGAACTATCTGAATATCTCAGCCTGGCCAGTTATATACAGCGTTGCATTCATAAAAGCTTATTTGTAATGGTTCTTTGGTTCAACAGCTTCTGTTGTATCTGACTCTCTCTGAACATTAATATTCCTCTGTTTTTTTAATGGGAATGGAAAATCAGATATGTTTTAGGGAATCGATTTCCTCATCCTGTCCAGTGAGTGGGACACTCAGGTTTCTCTTTGTCTTGTTCTTGGTCACATATCTGACGACAAGCTGGCAACTTCCTCATCGTTCTTCTAACCAGACTGGACAGCGGACTGCACACTCCCATGTATTTCTTCCTCAGCAACTTCTCCCGTGTTGATGTGCCTCATGCCACAAGCATCGTCCCTCAGATGCTGGTGCATCTTCTCGCAGAACATAAAGCTGTCTCATTTGTGAGCTGTGCAGCACAGCTAATTTTCTGCCCGCACTTGGGTGGGATTGAGTTTGTTTTATTGGCAGTGATGGCCTGTGACTGCTGTGTGGCTGTGTGTAACTCCCTGAGGTACTTGGTCATCATGCACAGAGGGCTCTCTGCCAGGTTGGGCACCACATCCTGGGTCACTGGTTCCAGGAACTGTTTCATGCAGGAACTCAAAAATAAAATAGTTATGTTTGAATCTAATGAAATTTATACAATTTGTATGCTGAGGATAACACCATGTGTTTTACAGTTTATGAAAATTAGTTCAATATAACCACAGATCTATAAAGCATAATAGTATGAAATTTTATAAGAAACTTATGAGAAAATATGGGATCTAGGGTAGGCAAAGTTTTCTTCATTTAGTGCAAAAAATGGGCTATTAGATGAATAATGATAAATTGGAGTCACCAAGCTTATAAAATACTCCTTTAAGAAATACTCTGTTATGAAACTTAAGGTAGAGGGTGAAGAAAATACTTACAGTCCAGCTAGAACATGGACAAGAGACCTGAAGGCACATTGTACTGAAGAAGATAGATGACATATAAGCAAATAGAAATATTTTTAACATTATTAACTTCAGAAAGTATCAATGAAAACTATCAGAATAGCTAAATAAAAATAATGACAATACACAATGCTGATGAGGATGAGGAGAAACGGAACATCCGTACATTGTGGTTGGGAATGTAAAATAGGTAGACATTCTGGAAAATGCTTCATAGTTTCTTAAAAAACAAAGTAAAAATCCAAAAACACTCCATCATGCAACTACATACAGCTCAACCTTTGCATTCCTGGACATTTTTCCTTGTCAAATGAATACTATACTCACAGAGAAACCTGTAGAGGAATGTTTATAGCAACTTAATTTGTAATAGTGTCAGACCAGAAACAACTTAGATGTCCTTTAACCTGTGAATGGTTAAACAAAAGGTGATAAGAACACACCATAGAGTACTCAGAGAGTACCCATCAACAATAAAAAGAATGAACTGTCGCTATATACAACAACATGGATGAATCTCCAGAGAATGACGCTGTGAAAAGGCTAAACCCAGAAGGAACATACTGTATAATTCCATTTATATGTAATTCTTGAAATGCCAAAATTATAGTTATGGATAACTGGTAGTGGTTATCAGAGGATAAGGAGAGGGTAGGGGTTGGACAGAAGTGAGTGTACCTATGAAAGGACAGCAGGATGGTGATGGACGTGTTCTGTATTATTGTGATTTTTCAATCCCAATCTTCTGATACTCTATTATCACATATCATGTAATGTTATAATTTAACTGTTTATAAAATGATATGCTGTTATATATCATACTACTGTATGATAATTATAGTAGAGGTCTGCAAGATGGGGTAAACTGGACCAAAGGGACAAGCGATACTTGGTATTATTAAGTATAATAGCTTGTAAATCCACATGATCTTAAAATACAAAGCTTAATTAAAAATGACGTTTGAATCCCTTTACAATATATATATCTGCCAAATCACCACATTGTGCACTTTCAATATTTTACAATCGTGTTTGTCAATTATAAGTCAATAAATCTGAAAAAAAAGTTTGAGCAGGTGTAGTTTGAAGTTTAACCCTTCTGTGAGAAGGATTTTAGATGATCTTATTTTCCATTGTTTTTTTTAATACTAGCTGCTATCATTCCCTTTATCAGCTTGTTGTAGATTTGGATTTTTAGGTCTGTTTATGTGATGCTGTTACTTTTGGAGCTAAAACAGTAGCGTGAGAAACGTACCAGCATGTCCATCATACTTGCAGTACTCACGGAAGTCCGTTAGGCTGCACATACATCAAGGGAGCAAAGCCCATCTCTCCTGTCTCTACAAAGAGAAGTAAGGGCACCTGGAGCCTAAAGGGGAGAAATGCTCTTCACCAAGATGTAGATGCAGCCCCAGTCATGTTCCCCAGACTGGGGCACTGAAGGGTGAGGTTGATTTGGGCTGAGGAGAACATGGTAAGCTTCAGGAACCTGGCTCCTCTGAGGTTTTAGAAACCTAAGGCTCTAATGAAGATGTCAGAGGCAGAGGGAGGCAGGGGAGCAGCCTTCCACAGGGAGGAGGAGGGCAGCCCGGAGGTCCTGCGCATGTGCATTGGGAGTGGGGTCAGTGATGAACATTCTAACGCCTGAGGCTCCTGAAGGGGCTCGTCAGCCCGCGTTGCCAAAGGCAGCTGCTGCCAAAGCCCACAAGGGCTGTGCTTGGGCTGCCTTGGAGCTCTTGTCGTGTCCTCCCAGTAGTGTCCCTAACAATTGCAGTTAGTCCCAGGGGATATGGGTCCTGGAGCCCAAGAGATCTGGGGCATCTGTTCCGTGTGGCCCGTCACTGTGTTGGAGGGGAGAACTCTTCGGACCAACTGAAACCCAGCCCGCAGCAGGCACTGGTTAATATTTGAGAGGCATCAATAGCGTGTGTGAGTGTGTCTTTAGAAGGGACAGAAACAGACAGGATGTGACTAGTTAGGGGCTTTGGATTGGGATATGAAATGTGACTGCTGAAAGCTTCTCATCCTTTGCATTGTCGCAAGTGTAGTAAAATAACTGCTTTGCAGAAGTGCGAGGCTTGGGTGCACTTCTTCCAACAGGCTTCTCAAATCCAAGGCTTAGTCCTGATGTAGAGAGGTGAAGACATAGAGGGAAGAAGCCCAGGAACAGAGAATTGTTAGTTAGGTATTGATAATGATGAGCAGGTTGTGGGAATATTAGTATATTACATTTCCAGACTAGATAAACTGTCAATCGCTCCAGGCCTCCGATTTCAGTTATTTTTGAAGGGTTTGGTACATAGGACATTGTGGTTTTTTAAAAAATAGCACATATGTCAAGATATAGGGCAATTAATGGCTTATTCAGAGAGCTTCAACATTGAGAGTGAACTGGAGCCAAGATTTAGGCCTCCTAAGTGATCCCGAGTGGGTTCCCCTAGAATTGGCTGTGGGGATTGCCCTGGGGAGACTTGTCAGGCAGAGGGAATTTTTCTGTAAAGTAAACCCTAGTCTTAGCGACCAGGGAGAAGAACTGTAAAGGTCTCACACAATGAGACCATAATGAAATATGTCACCAAAGCGAATGTCAGGTTGCACTTGCTTGAGAAACCGAGTCTAAAAATTGGGTTCAGAGTAAGTGAATATTGAGGTAACCAAATCAGGCTACAAGAACTTAACTAGACCACTAAGAAAAAATGACTTGTTCTTCCAGGATGTCCAAGCCCTGGGTTGTGTGCCCACGCGCTGGGATGACGCCAGTATTCCTGCTCAGGACGGATGCACTAGGTGTGCACATCCACCAACTCCACAGTCACAAGTCAAAGAAATCTTTCTCTGAATGAAAGCGCACTTCCTTGGACGGTTCAAGTTCATGAAGGTATGGCTGTGAGTCACACTGAGCAGCACGAGAGAAACATATCTGCAGGTGAGGGACCTCCCTTCCTGTGTTCTGCTTCGGCACTCACGACTTTCACTTGTCCCACTGAAGATTGTTCAGAACCCCAAATACAGAAGGTCAAATAGGTTAAGCCATAAAGGGGCAGATTTTCTTTATTTAAATGGGAAAATTATAACTGCCTTAAGCTGAACTTCCCAATTAGTTGTCTTACATGAAATAAAACATGTTGTGTTAGGAATCTGAAGTCTTATTTTTGTTTCCTTATCTCTGTCATAGAGAAAAGGCATTTATTTCCACTTGCTGTAAGTATTAGTACCTGGATAATGGGAGAGGGCACTGGGGGCCGCTTTTAACTGGGGTCAGCATCAGCCGGAATGAGCAGTGAAGAGTTGGTCTTTGTTGTCTGTACCTCATACCTGATTTTTCCTATAATTTCAGTGAAATTCCTCATCCTTCCCCCATTTGTGAGGGACTCAGTTTTCTGCTGTCATGTGGCCTGTTTTAAATGGCCACAGTAAGGGTAATTAATATTTTAAAATCCCATTTGGAATAATCCCATCTAAAAAGTTCACAATGAATTGAATCTCAAGATAAAAGGAATAAGTTACTAATATTGGAGCCTCAAGCCTTCTGGGTCAGGAAGAAGGAAATAATTTTGAATAGAATATTACAGTGACACCTTCATATTATATCCCTTTTTACATTCTGTTAGTTATGGTCACAGTAATTGCTCTGTATCTACCACAACTCTTAAGACATAGGCATCTGAAAATTATTCCTTCATGATATTTATATCTAAGGAGCTGAAGTACAGGGATATGTCATTTTTCAATATTATGTTCTCAACAGCCAGCCTGCATTGTTCAGTTTTGAGTAGACCAAGAAAGCTCAAAACATACAGATAGAGTAGTATGGTTTCAGGTTTTGCATATTAGGAAGAAACGACCCAGAAGATGTGAAATAGGGTGGTATTATTTATTAAAGGACCAGTAGGTACTTAGAGAAAGAGCAGCTGGAATTGGGATGAATGCTGAGAACACACACAGTCTTACACAAGAGAAAAATCTAACAGGACTGACTCCACTCCACTGCTCATACCTGACAGTGAGCAAGAGCTGTCTTCCTAGTCCTCCAGGAGAAGGATTTCGGCTTCTTATGTCTATTGAGAAAAGTGGAATAAGTATTCTCATGAGCCTGTCTTACCTGTTGACATGAATGAAAAGCACAGGTTGGGGAACAGTGTCAAACATCCCAAGTCTATTGGAAATAAGAAGACCAAGCTTTAGGTGATACCACATGTTTAGCTATGCGGCACATTGCCCACCACTTCCTTCATTCTGTGAAATAAGACAGACTACGTTTGCAGCTCTGTTTAGCTGAAAGCTGACCTGAGGAATGTGGAGATGGTGTTTGCTGCAGGCATATAAAATCTTCCCAACCAGGTTTCCTCCTTCATTTGGTTTTTTAAAGTGCACACGCTGTATCTATTTTCTTGATCTACAGGAGTCGAAGAAGGGACTCTATATGAGTGTAGAAAACAGAAGTATTTGAATTATCAGTTATTTTGAATTTGAATTATTTTAAAATCAAGGTAAATGCCTTTCAAAATAAATATACTCTTTGATGGGATAAAAATAATTAGATGACATATCCAGGAAGGGCACTTATATATTAGCAGGATATTTTAGTAAATTTTTTTGCTCTGAAACACAGGCATGATAATAAACACTAAAATTAATAAAATAAAAGTCATGACAGGTCCTAATTAATGAGTATTTGTACATTCCCCTGCCCCTGATGTTCTTAATTCTGTAAACAGTTAGACAACATGTATTTGTTTGTGTATGAAAGTAGTATGATTAAATTTGTGTTTTAGGGTGATCAGTCTAGGAGGAAGAAAAGCACATTTATTATTGTCTTTACCAGGGAGGGGCTCCTGTTAGTACTAATACCTTTATTGCTGAAGTACCACTTCCATTAATAAGTTATAACTAACTTCCTTGTAAGTTATTTCTACATTTGACCTTGCCATATACTTGTGAGTTACGGAATAGTATCATATTTTGTGTATAAAAGTTTACACATCTTGTATATCATAAAAACAGGATTCATATCCAGTGTATCTAATTCTGATCTATCCAGGAGATATTAGCTTTGTTTGTATTGTGCATTTGCCACTTTGGAATCTCTCTCCCTCTCTTTTTGTAATTATTTATTCATTTCATCATGTTTGGAGTAATAGGTACATGTAGGGTTGTCCTTGACTTTGAATCATGTTTATCTTCATTGTTTACCACTTTACCTCCCATTGTTACCTACCATCTTCTCTTGCCTGGAAACTAAGGTAAGTTGGAAGATATACAGCCCCTAAAACTATACTGCATTATCTCCAGACTTTAAGTGACTCCCTGAGACCATCCTGTCCTTTGAAGGCATGAGCCTGTCTCTCTTACGCAGAGAACATGAATGCATCTTAGGATCAAACTGTCATCTTGGCTCATAAATGATCCGAAACATCTGGCTAGGAGTGGCAGGTTGTGTATACAATATTCATTCTTTTTAGAAGTTATTTTAATGGCTCTTTAATTCAGCAGCTTCTATTATTTCTGTCTCTCTGCAGATTAATAATCTGTTCTTTAATGGACACGGATAACCAGACATGGGTGAGAGAGTTTATTCTGCTCGGCCTGTCCCGTGACTGGGACACTCAGGTCTGTCTTTTTGTCCTGTTCTTGATCACATACATGGCGACAGTGCTGGGGAACTTCCTCATTGTCCTTCTGATCAGACTGGACAGCCGACTCCACACTCCCATGTATTTCTTCCTCAGCAACCTCGCACTTGTTGATGTGTCTTATGCCACAAGCATCGTCCCTCAGATGCTGGTGCATCTTCTTGAAGAACATAAAGCTATCCCCTTTGTGAGCTGTGCAGCCCAGTTATTCTTCTCCCTGGCTTTGGGTGGGATTGAGTTTGTTCTACTGGCAGTGATGGCCTATGACCGCTATGTGGCTGTGTGTGACCCCCTGAGGTACTCAGTCATCATGCATGGAGGGCTCTGTGCCAGGTTGGCCACCACGTCCTGGGTCAGTAGGTCTGTCAACTCTGTCATGCAGACCGCCATCACCTTTCAGCTTCCCATGTGCACATACAAACATATTGATCACGTATCCTGTGAAATCCTAGCTGTGCTCAGGCTGGCCTGTGTGGACACCTCCTCCAATGAGGTTGCAATCATGGTTTCTAGCATCATCCTGCTGATGACACCCTTCTGCCTGGTTCTCTTGTCCTACATCCAGATCATCTCCACCATCCTAAAGATCCAGTCCACAGAGGGGAGGAGGAAAGCCTTCCACACCTGTGCCTCCCACCTCACAGTGGTTGCCCTGTGCTATGGCATGGCCATTTTCACTTACACCCAGCCCCGCTCCAGCCCTGCTGTCCTTCAGGAGAAGTTGATCTCTGTCTTCTATGCTATTTTGATGCCTGTGCTGAACCCCATGATTTATACTCTAAGGAACAAAGAGGTGAAGGGGGCCTGGCAGAAACTATTAGGAAAATTATCTGGATTAAAATCTAAAATGTCAACGTGATGAATCATGAGCATCATTTGGAGAAAAGAGCTTTGCCTGTGTGTTCTCCCACTCAGCTCAGATACGACAGGCGTCAGCTGCATTGCCCTGGCAACCAGGAAAGAGATGATGAAATGTGTGCTGATAGGAGGCTGAGTGGTTGGGTTGAGGGGTGGGATGTGAGAATACTTTTATGTCATTGCAGCATGTTCAATGGAGTTGAGCACTGATATAATAGAATTTTGCACCCTGATTCATCTCCATTCATACCGCCTGAGAGCCATGGGAAAAAAAATCATTTACTGCTTTGATGGGTCATGTTGTTTGTAATCATGGACCCATTTGTGGATCTTACTTTGGACCACTGGTTCTTGTTCATCCAAATTTTGTACAAGGTTATCATGTTTCCATTGGGAACAAAACCTTTTCACATTTTAGACTCACTTAAAATAATGCCTGTTCTATGTAGACACATCCAGTAATTGTGTGAGTCACTGTTCTGAGGAAAGTGAGCTGACCTAACGTGGTGGATGTAATGTGTTTGTCTGAATGCTGGAGGTAACTCAGTAGAGAAGCAGAAACTAAAGATCTTATTTTACTCTAATAGGAATATAACTGACTTTTGTTTGTTTATGAGGAATAACTACATTTTAAGCTCTCCTTGATAGTATACAAACAATTTGAAAGGAAGTTTCTTGCATACATAAAGGGCTACCATGTAAATGTTAAAATTGTTTAATCCCTAAAAAAATCTCTTAACTCTTTTCCTAGAGTTTAGAAACAAAATAAGCACATAAAATTTAAGATAATATATAAAATATTAAAGCTGTCATTAATCGTAGAAAAGACAAATTCTTCAGTCAAAGCCAAGGAAAGATAAGGTAAAATGAAAAATTTTGTGAATCAGGATAGTTCACCCAGCTATGCAGATATTACCCTCAATTATTCATATTAAAGGCAATGCCCCATCTGTCTTCCTACACACACACAGGGCTGTAGTTGATCTTTGCAAATCTAGTGAGCTGAAGTCTCAAGGGTAGATGCCAAGTCTGACAAAAGTCTAACTAAGGAAAAAGAGGGTGAAGAAATAATTGTATAATGGTTAAAGAAGGGGAAAGAGGAGAAAGAATATGATAGCAGCTCATCTTTTATTTCCCTCAAAGAATTCACAAATCTTCTATTCTGTCTTCTTAATTTAGTTGATTTGCAGTTCTATTTGTGATCACATTATCAACACAGTTCAGTGTTTGAGTGAGCTTAAGGTTTATGTAATCCAGAGCCCGTTTGATATTTTAATATTGCTTTAAAAATTCCCGACCTAAAATTTGAGATGTATGTAAGCCTCCTAAAAGTTGTCAATTCCAGTGGGTTAAATTTCTCTTGGTGTTAATTCAAGAATTATTAATGGAAAGTCTATGTGTGTGTAACAGTGAAGGGTTTTTGAAACAAAATGGTCAAGAAGATAAAGGCCTGACAATAATAGGATAATGAGGTCTGATAGAAAATGAAGCAATTAAAATGCAGCATGATAAGAGTCACAGTGAATAAGACTTTGGGGGTGACAGCAGAAGTCTTCCTGTATGAAAGGACCAAACAGACCCAGGTGGGAGGGTGAGAACAAGTGATCCGGATGACAGCAACCCAAAGAAAGGAACAGCTTGTGAAAGGGGCAGAGCTGGAAGGGAAGAGGCGAGCTCCAAAGTGTCCTGCAGGCTGCACTTGCAGGGCAGAGACGACTGGGGAAGCAGTGAGGATGAGTCAGGTGGGTAAAGAGGGGTGTGGTCTCACAGGGCACTGAATGCCGCATTGTCATTTAACTTTATGTGATCGCAATGGGGAGCTGGTAGAGATTTTTAAGCAGGCATATGATTTGATAAAATTTATATTTTTGTATAGTCACTGTGGCAAATAAGCCAGAGGAAGAAAAGATTATAGAGGCAAGGAGACCTGCTTTGGACTTCTCCAGTGATACTACTGAAACACTAGAGGCATCTGATCTACACTGGTGGCGATACAGAAAGAGAAAAGTCAAGTCAAGCCACTTGATTTGAAAGAGATTTCAGAATTGCTTTTAGAATGTGTTGAAACATAGGCAACTATCACTTGACAATACACTGCTGTGTATACACACACACACACACACACATGGATAGATAGATAGATATGCCAATGTATACGAACCTCATGGTAACCACAAATCAAAAACCTATAGTAGACACACACAAAAAGAAAGAGAAAAGGGCCCAAACATGAGCTAGAGAAAACCATCAAACCACATGGAACGAGATCAAGAGAAGAAGAAAGGAGTAGAGACAAACTACAAACAACCAGAAAATAATCAACAAAATGTCAGTGAGTACAAACCTATCAATAATAACTTTAAATGTAAAGGGGCTAAATGCTCTAACCAAAAGACAAAGCATAACTAAATGGATTAAATGATGAGACCCATCAACATGCTGCCTGCAAGAGACACACTTCAGATATAAAGATATACAGAGGCTTCTAAGGAAAAGATATTCCATGAAATGGAAACAGAAAGAAAGCTAGTATAGCAATACTCACATCTCGTAAAATAAATTTTAAAACAAAGACCATAACAAAAGACAAAGAAGGGCATTACATAATGATAAAGGGGTCAATCCAAGAGGAGACTATTATATTCATAAATATTTATGTACCCACCATAGGAGCACCTGAATATATAAAGCAATATTAATGGACATAAAACGTGAAATTGAAAGTAATACAATAATATTATGGGACCTTAACACCTCCCCCTCTCCAACTTATATCAATGGATAGATCATCCAGTCAGAAAATCAATAAGGAAACCTTGGCTTTAAATGACACATTAGATCATGGACTTAATAGATATGTTAAGAACATTACATCAAAAAGCAGCAGAATACACATTCCTCTTATCTGCATATGAAACATTCTTCAGCACAGATCACATGTTAGGCCACAAAATTAGTCTCAGTAAATTCAAGAGAATTGAAATCACATCAAGCATCTACTCTGACCACAACCACATAAATCTAGAAATCAATTACAAGAAGAAAACTTAAAAAATTACAAACATATGGAGTTGAAATAACATGGTACTAAATAACTAATGAGTCAGTAAAGAAATGACAGAGGAAATTTAAAAGAATACCTTGAGAGAAATTAAAAACAGAGTTTTCCAAAATTTGTGGATGCAGTGCTGCCAAAGCAGTCTAAGAGGCAAGTTCGTAGCAGTACAGGCCTACCTTAATAAACAAGGAAAATCCCAAATAAATAATCTAAGTTTATACCTAAAGGAACTAGAAAAAGAACAAATTAAGCCCAGAGTTAGTAGAAAGGAGGAAATAATAAAGGTCTGAGTGGAAATAACGAAATAGGGACTAACAAAACAAAACTAAAACAATTGAAAAGATGAACAAAATTAAAAACTGGTTCTTTGAAAGAAGAACAAAATCAATAACCTCTAGAGAGATTCATCAAGAAAAAGAGTGAGATGTCCCAAATCAATAAAATCAGAAGTGAAAGAGGGGAAGTTACCACTGATAGCACAGAAATACAAACAATTACAAGACACTACTACAAACTATTAAGCCAACAAATTGAAAAACTAGAAAAAATGATAAATATCTAAAAGCAGATATTCCCAGACTAAACCACAAAGAAATAGAAAATCTGAAAAGACCTATTCCAAGTAATGAAATTGAATCAGTTATTAAAAAAACTCTCAAAAGACAAAACACCAGAATCAAATGGTTTCACACATGAATTCTACTAAACATTTAAAGAATGTTTATACCTATTCTCAAATTATTGCAAGATTCAAAGAGAAAGGAATGCTTCCAAACTCATTTTACAATGCCAGCCATACCCTGATATCAAAACCAGACACATCACAAAAAAAGAAAATTACAGGCCAATATCCCTGCTGCAAGATACAAAAATCCTCAACAAAAATTAATTAAACAAATTCTACAATCCATTGAAAGGATCGGACCCTGTGATGAAGAGGGGACTCTTCCAGGGATCCATGTATGGTTCTGCATCTGTAAATCAATCAATGTAATATACCACATTGACAAAGCAAAGATAAAATTCATGATCATCTCAATAAATACAGAGGAAACATTTGACAAAATTTAACATCCACTTATAATAAAACTCTCAACAAGGTGGATATAAAAGGAATGTACCTCAACATAATAAAGGCCATATATGACAAGCCCACAGCTAACATCATACCCAATAGTGAAAAGTTGAAAGCTTTTACTCCAAGATTAGGAGTAAGACAAGGACACCCAGTTTTATTCTTGCCACTTTTATTCAACCTAGTACTAAAAGTCGTGGCCAAGGCAATTAGGCTAGAAAAAGAAAAGAAAGGCATTTAAATTGGTAAGGAAAAAGTGAAATTATCACTATTTGCAGATGGCATGATACTATGCATAGAAAATGCTAAAGACTCCACCAAAAAAACTATTAGAACTAGTAAATGAATTCAATAACATCACAAGATACAAAATTAATATAGAGAAATCATTTTCATTTCTATACACTAATAATGAGCCTATCAGAAAGAGAAATTAAGAAACAATCCTATTTAAAAATTGCATCAAAATAATAAAGTACCTAGAAATAAATTTAACCAAGGAGGTAAAAAACCTATACTCTGAAAACTTTAAGACATTGATGAAAGAAATTGAAAACACAAGTAAATGGAAAGATACTTAGTGCCCAGGGACTAGAGGAATTAGTATTGTTATAGTGTCCATACTACCCCTAGAAATCTATACCCTGTGCACAGTGAAATAAACCAGCAAGAAGAAAAGACTGAAGGGGAGAAGATATTTGCAAATCATGTATCTGATAAGGGGTTATTTTTCCAAAATATATACAGAACTTACACAGCTTAATTAAAAAAAACTGATTAAAAATTGTCAGAGGACTTGAATAGGCAATTTTTCCAAAGAAAACTTGGATATCCAACAGACATGAAAAGATGGTCAGCATCACTAATC